GCCTGAACCACTTAAGGATCACGCTGTTTGAAAGCAGTTCCCGTCTGATTTCATTACTATTTCTAATACGCACCCTCCTGGGAGGTTTAATACCGCAACAGGATGGGGGTGGCTTTGGACGAAGGAACCCAGGCTATTAAGGTAATCTACTTGCTTTCGCCGCTTCTGCACCCCACAGATACAACTCCAAATCTTCTCTTGTTCTTCCCAACTTTCTTATTTTCTGCTCCTTCCATTCAGCTGATTGCGACGGCTTCGTTTGGAAGTAAGCCCCAATAGGGTAAGACCACGATTGAAGAATTTCAGAGCTCGGGGACCTATTCTCGCTGAAGGGATTTTTCGAATCCCGCAGATGAAATTTTTGTTGCAATCTCACTACCCAAAACATTTTCCTTCCATAATGTTCAAGGGTGCCGATAGTTTCCAGAATAGACCTCTGACAATCAGTTTTATTAGGTGCTGTGAGTGAGGCGCTTCTGGTGAACTTTCTATTGTCATGTCGTCATCCTAACTAATGAACGTTGCGCACGAAACTTTTTCCTCTATCACTGACAGGTTCGCAACCGGTTACGGCTAGAAAACAGTTTGGTTAGTGAAGTTTGTTGTGTGGAAACCGGAGCCTCTTGGGCACTCGTCGGCACGGGGAGGTTCATATTCAGTTCTGTAAATCCAGGATCTGAGGTTGAGGAAGGTGTTGAACTATTGGTACGAAAACCATATCTAGAATGAATTTCATTGAAACCTCACGCTAATTATCGTGATTCGGGCTGGCCTGGGTATAAGCTAATCGGTGTGGTCACTTTTTATGGTACCGTCAATGGTCCTCGGCTCAGTTCACCCAACTGGATCCACACGTGTGTGTTCTCTGAAGTCAATTAATTTCTCAAAAGGAACCTATAATCCAACCTTAATTCCCTGCTTCAGTTACTCCAGTAGCTACGATCATACTGTAAAGGTCGAAGGCAAAGGCTACTGCTAGAAAAAAACTGACCCTGAAACGACTTTGTTTGTAGGAACTCCCATTCATTATCCATTTGTATCGTTCGTAGTGTCGCGCTGCCCACTTGCACCAGATTTTGTTGACATTCGCCGGATAGACGACACCACTCGGTCTCAATTTGGGATCATATGCTACTCATCTGGCTCATGCTTCTCATCTTCATAGAGTTTTTAAGCTTCGGAATGTCCATTTCGGGAATAAACACACAACGGCTTTTCGGGTTGGCCATTCCGGGTTGGTCGAGGTGGCAGCTTTTCGCAGCTCTCATCCACTTTCTTGGTAGCACAAGTTTTATTGGAGAGAGAGACATGAATGTTTGTGAATGGCAATGAAGTTTTTTCGTGGAGCGGCGCTTTGCAGAGCAGATATTTTGGTTCTGCTATCATATGTTTGAAGGCACTCAACAGCGAGAAAGAGTAAATTTGTGCTGAGGTCGAAGAAGCCTGACTTGTGCTGCGATGATTCACCGCGTGTGTTTTGCTGTCTGGTTGAGGTGCAGCTGTTTGTTCTTATCCTTCCCACTCTTTCAATTACATGTGTTTCCAATGAGCGCCACTCATCATGCCCAGAGGCGCCATTCAGCTGGCTGCATTGACGTCAGGACGGCGTTCTCCCATTGTGGTATGTGCCCAGTACATATTGGCGAAGTGCATTCGTTATGCACCGTCATTGGGAAATGACGTTTTCGCCTGGGAACCCGTATACTTCCCTATCCATCCTTTCGAACAAATTCTAGGAAACTTGAAAAGAAGGGTGTTAAGCACTCTGGAACCATGCTATTTCTAGTGCAACAGCTGCTTCTAAGTTTTTCCCTCCTGCATCTAATCCAAGCATACATATCAGTATGGTAGCCTTTTCACTGGGAGAGCTTTCTAAAAAGTTCGATAACACTTTGAAGGAATGACTTAGCTCGGGCTAATCATAATAACAGGATAACTAAATTGCAGTCTAACTTTCTTTCTCCATCCTGATTCATTTCCAATACTTCGATTTCCCCCTTAATTTTCTGATTTCAGGCAGACAGCCTGGCCGAGATCGACATTAGCGAAGTACGAAAATGCGGCGAAAAAGCCGATGCGAGGCAGTTCGAATTGCTCAAGGTATCTAGGAAAACTTACTCTTCCCATTTGTTTGAAGTTCCAAACGACAATCTGGTCTTTGCCAATTTGTTCCCCGTTCCAGGTACTCGGCCAAGGCTCTTTTGGGAAAGTGTTTCTCGTGAGGAAAATCCGTGGACGTGACACCGGTCACATCTATGCGATGAAGGTAAATGTTTTCCAATGGCCTACCGCAATTTCGCTTTGTTTCACTGATTTGGTCGCACTCTGTGAGTGTAAATTTCTGTACTCTATGACTAGTCCTTCTTTTTTGATATCTGATGAGAAAAGCCTCTCCGTCACCTCAATTAGGACTACCGTTGTTTATTTCCATTCCGCAGAGTAATTCGTATTAAAAATGCGTGACATTATTAGCTGGCCGCCACCCCTTCCCCACGCCCACCAGGTTTCACGTCACATCGTTACAGTTGTTGGTTGTAAGCTGTCTGTGTCTGCGTCCACACTACTGGTATTTTGTTTGTGCAGTCAATTCGATGTCGTGGGTGTTTCGTGCGCCCCATGATGCTGGAGAGTCCTTGGGCAAAAAGAGGAATCTGTTTGAAAAGGGAATGCAGAGTGTTGAGCGTTATGAATATATCCGCCGCCCTCGAATGCCCTTTGCAAGATCCGCCGGCGCTAACTTTTTTATTGAGTCTTATAAATAGAAATCGCGTTATTTTCCGAAGCGTATCAAGTGCATCTCGAACATAGCAGCTTTTCTCGCTTTATGGAAACTCATGGTTTATACATAGTAAGGATACTAGCGAAAATTGCCTGCGTTTTTCAGAAGTTTCTGCGATTTTTGACAGGTAGACAATCTCCACTCCTCCACGTACCTTCTCATATCTTACAGGACCCTACACCAGTGTGGGGTTGCACTAACGATTTTTAAAGGCATAGTTCATGATAATTTTGGATCATCTATTTCTAGACGAATAATGAAAGGATAAGTCTAGAATAGTGAAAGTAGCGAAAGAAAGCGGAAATTGGCGTGATCAGGGGGTGAAAGACTCTAAAAAAAGTAGTAAAATGAGGTATGGACGAGAACGCGACGACAAAGATTGCATGGAAGGGGTGTTTGGACGAGCTGTTCACATTTACGTTCCAGGTGGCCACGGTAAGCTGACTGGGAACTTTTGCATTCCGGTGTGAATGCTACAACCTCTAAAGCTTCTACAATGCCATTAAAACTCGTCCAGCTTGGTTGTGTACGTCTGCTCAATCGGTTTAGGACCCTTATTACGTCCTATCGTGGCCGTTTTTCGACCCAACAACGCCACTCAGGCTATCTTCGGAGATCCTAGGTCTATCGAAGGGGAGGTCTCAAAGATCATTTTCAACGTGAACTGTGCCTTTCAGCAGAAAAAGTGCTCTAATTTCTACCTGTATCCAATCGCAAGTCTAAGGCAGTGCTGCATTGTTACAGTGCTACGAAGAAAAAATCAAAAAAGTCAACTCGTCCACCGGTGCGCGCTCCCACATTACTTACCACAAATGGTACTTCTCGATCTGTATCCAACACTACCACTTATTACCATGGACATGGTGTAGTGGCTGAGAGGCGCAGCCTCACGGGCCCAAGCACACCCAGTCCATGGAGTGGCTCTGTGCTTGTTATGGGCCATTAGACATTAATATGTTTCTCTGAATGGAATTGGTCTCTGAAAGTCTATCTCAGAGGAATTGGTCATTCCATTCTGAACATCTTTATGGTCAACTTTATGGTCGCTTCTCGTTCCGCCGTTTCTGATTAGTGCAATCCGCTCAGAAGAGCCAGAAATCGGTTTCTAGCTTTTCTGAACGTCCCTTGCTTTTTGTGAACTGCATTCCCTTTTTGTCTGTTAGCTGTAAGCGCTTTCATCGATTCCATCGAAGGCTCGAATTTCAGGTACTGAAGAAGGCCACGCTTAAAGTACGTGATCGATTGCGGACGAAAATGGAACGCAATATTTTAGCCCACATATCACATCCATTCATCGTGAAGCTACATTACGGTACTGTGATTTCTATGGTTTTCATGAATGACCCTTTTTTCCACCTCGACCCTTTTGCTGGCTCTTGCAGTGTTTCATCCCTAGTGAGCTCTAGCCAAAGGTCGAAAGGCCATCACTGATCAATTTCTTGTCTTAGGAAACAGTACTTGAGACCATGACTTTTCTTCAACCAAAACGTAGTGTTCAGTAGCATAGATAAATACATTTTGGACAGTAAACAATATGAACCAAATACATAAAATTTCATCTTTGGAATATGCAGGTTCAAGTAAGGATGTTAGCTATGTAAAAATAAGTTGATTTGACTGTTCCAGCTTTCCAAACCGAAGGCAAACTCTACCTGATCTTGGACTTTTTACGAGGTGGCGATCTATTCACGAGGCTATCAAAAGAGGTAGGTCAACTCATTATGAATTTTTCATTTTTTTTTCTGACTGATGGCTTTTGTGAAGCTTGATATATGTTTTTTTATTATGGCAGCCCGTATTTGAGGCTTTTGAAAAACTTTCCAAATAGGACCATCCTAGAGACCATCTTATGAGTGAATGACAATCGTCTTTTTCCTAGCGGCAATCGCTAGATCAACTCTCACTCGCCACTTGACCTTTTCGGCCGATTTTTTGTAGTCGAATAGAAATTGTGGTTAGGCATATTCAGGAGAATTCCTGTTGTTATTGTTCCATGCTCAACGGGAATTGCCTCGAAGCCAACCATTCACGGGGTTTGTTAGGTATGTAGTGCGGCTTTGGACAGATATTCATAATCCCCTGTTCAATATGCAAGACTCCTTGTTTTTTCCTAAGCAAAGGAGGTTGATTACATTTCGGAAAACTGTGTGATATTTCTGTGGGGACCTGCTATGATGAAAAGCAATTTCGACATCTGAACCTGAGTTTTTTCCCGCTTTTGAAGGAACTCACGACACTTGGGAGATCTAAAACACTAGTTTGGCTGGCGCACTCGGTGGCGACCTTAAACGACTGCTCAGTGAAGCGCTATGATTAAGGCTATCACGTCTCGTAGCGTTTCCTGCTTCCTTTTTTCCTTCTCTTCTGTCTCCTGCATTGGCATTCCTGACTAATCAGGAAAACAACTTACTAGTCGATGCCCCTTGCGGAGAAGAAGCCGATGGCGCACATAAAATGAGGAACTTTCCACGCAGTCTTACATCTTCGAACTAAAATGATAGAAGGTACGGTATTACGTACAGTACCTTTGTTGCAGGTCATGTTCACGGAAGAGGATGTGAAGTTCTACCTTGCTGAGTTGACCCTTGCTTTGGAGCATCTCCACTCTCTGGGTATCGTCTACCGGGATCTAAAGCCGGAAAAGTGAGTATTGCCAGATTGTTTGTGAAAAACGGCCTGACCATGGTGTTTATTGTTGTTTACAGTATTTTGTTGGACGCTGACGGACACATCAAAGTAACCGACTTTGGTCTCAGTAAGGAATCGATCGACAATGAGAAGAAGACTTATAGTTTTTGTGGTACGTTCCTTCGGAACAACTTACTTTTGTCGCAAAAAATGGCTGATGACCATTCTTCTAAATCGGTTTTGATACCTTTCCGCTCCCCTAGAGCCACAACAGCCCTCCCTTCATGTTTCTTTCTCTACTGGCTTCGTGTCTTGACATTGCGAGGTTTTCTCCCTTTGCTAATGCTCGCAACAGTCGTGAAGTCCATTGTTAGCAGTAGTCTCATTACTGTGTAATCCTGAGAGGTTTTTCTATGGCCCTGCCCTTGAACACAGCGTCACTGATAACTGCTGCGAAAGGGTGCAATGTCATAGCGCTGTAGATGTTACAACACGCTTGGGACATGCTCTCAACAGACGGGCATTTTGAAGTGGATTTTTCTCTGAACCGCCCAGTTACTGTCCTTAGGATCGAGGGCACGAACTCCACAACTTCACCCCCTCCCCCTTCCCCAGATTAAGAATTCACCACCCAGAAGTTAATTTCAGGAACGATCGAGTACATGGCCCCGGAAGTGATTAATCGACGTGGCCATTCGTGCGCCGCTGACTTCTGGTCGCTGGGTGTTTTGATGGTGAGTCGATTGCAGCTCCAAGCGAGCTTCTAGCAAGCTATATACACCACATATGCAAGTATAAGAAGGAACCAGTTCTGATGTCAGAATGACCAGTCGACGCTTAAGCTGATCAGGTCCCACTCTTCTCGGTCTTTGGTTTTCATTTCATTAACGATCCTGAGCAAGTGTGNNTTGGTCAGATGTAGGCTTGAATAATTCGTATACGAATCACTTCCCAGTCATATCGGGCCTTTGGTTTCCCATCCCCTTTGGCCCGTTAGAAGTTTTAGAGGGAGCGTTTTTCCCTTCAGTCCCGCTTTTCCAGGTGAATAAACAACAGTCGCTCCACTTTCATGCGAACTCCCGTCGCACACCCCGCAACCCTCCCAGAAGAAGTCGTTTAAAAACATTTAAAAAACTTTGAACTGAAGAGAAAAGAGTTGTGCATTGGTCAACTAAAAACTAACGTTGTAAATGTGCATGGATCCAACGATAATGCAATTGTGTTCTGGGAGCAAGATAGAAGGGATTCCGGGAACCCTGGTTTTCCCCTCCTTGAATTTTAATAAACTTTGTGAGCAACTAAATTTTTCCAACCATATTTCGCCTTCGCTTTCTAGAGATTAAAACGAGAACGGGTGAATAGGCGGCAGCATGGTATTATATTTGGATCACCCCTCCGCAGCGGTTATTTGGGGACTTCTAGGAATTCCTCCAAGCTCCGTCGTTGCCGTCGTCTATTACTGATTCGTGGTCATCCTATGCGTGATAAGTCCAAATTATCCAACATCTCCTGCTTTGCGGGTGCCTTTTTGTCCTTGCGGGTAAAATTGGTCTTCTCAAGTGACAAAGTGTAATGTCGAGGGGAGATTATGTCCATCCCAACATTTGTGATGGCATTTAGCCGCCTAAAGTTCCTGAATGACGAGCGATCAGCTTAGTATTTAGTCGACGTGAGTGAGTGTTCGTTTTGGTTTAAAATGAGCTCGAAATTGAAACTCAAGGGGAAGTACATCTCACGTTCGCTTACTTATTACTGGTTCCAGTTACTCACCATTCCGAGTCTAAGGCAAGCTCCGCTGTCTGTTCTAAAGGGCATTTTACTTGACAAAATTAAGTTTTTTCTCTTCAATGCGGTAACAAGAAACAAGATGAGATGTCACGAGCTTGCTTTAAGTTAGCAGAGAATCTCGGTCCGTGTCTTACTGCCCCTATAGTGGAATCGATGGCCAGGTGGCCTTTTTGGAGGATTTCAAGTGAGGGTGTGGTTCGTTCCTTCTTCTCGGGCTAGATGCTCATTGGGTTGCAGTAACTGGATCAAGAGAAACGTTGTTGGCACTTGCTCGAAGATGTCGATGTCAACGAGACGACAGGTGATACAAGTGATTGATGATGACAGGATGGCAAAAGACATAAGAAACATCGAGGCAATTGCAGCTGCCACTGTTAAAGAACAGCATGAACACTGATCGGTGTCTTGAAGAATTAATGAGGGGCAAAGAATAGAACGCTGTTTTCTTGCATCCCACTCCAAAGCACTTGGTCCTCCCAAGAAAATTATGCGACCTTTGAATTTAATATAGTATTCGTGGAATGAGTGGTTCCATCCTATTCCTCTGATTTCTATACAGCCTGCAGTAGCTTTCTCCCACTTAGTCCGGACTAACGTCAATTCTCAGCCACTGTTCCCCTTCTTTGTTATGTTCAAAGGATATGGGGATGGGAAACCCTCGAAAACTTATGGTGCCGAGGAAGTCCAACTGCAGAGTCCCGATTTCTCGTCCGTAGATTCATAAAGTTTCGAAAAAAATGAAGGAGAGAATAGGAGAGGGGGAAGAGCCGACATTCGGAAATTTTGGGAAACATTCGGGAATCTTCCTAAATATCGGCCATTGCCCACAACTTCGACGCCCACCTTTATCCACCTCGCCCTAACAACTGGCACGTAATATTAACATGTCATTTTATTATTCTGCAATGGCTTCGAGAGGGTGAATTATTTCTTCATTCACATCTCCTATGTTACCGTAATCCTGAGATATAAGTGCTCATTTATTTTCGTTAAAGAGCACCTTCCAATGGTTTATTATTCTGTGGGTGGGTAATTTTCCTCTAGTTGATTGTCCATTTGTTGTGGTCGTTCGGCTTCTCCCGGACTGGGCAGCTCCGAGGCGCATGACGTCATTTTCGTGACAAGAACGATGTGTGTGTGCCCGAGAAGCATAAATTACTTACTGAGTAATTGCCTGCTTTCAATTTTCCTACGTAGTTCTAGGAAGGCTCACAGAGGCGCAAAGAAATGGGGAATGTGAGGTTAAGAAAATAAGAAAGAAGTCGGTCAGCAGAGTTTTTTTTTTCAATTTGCCATTTCCAATTCATTCTGTTGCAGTTCGAAATGCTAACGGGCCACTTGCCCTTCCAAGGCCATGACCGGAAAGACACGATGACGCAAATCCTGAAGTGAGTGCTTTCAATTGCTTTTTTCGTTTATTGTGACAGCTGCCCCGCAAAAGCCGGTTATTGCCGAAACCCGAAACTTTTAAATGCCAGCGATATGCCGAGCTGCAGCCGATCGTTGGCCGTAAGGCATCGGATTCGTGCTAGATAGCAGCTCGGTGCCTTCTCGGATAATGAGCAATGATGTCATTTATGGAAAACGGCCAAAGCTGCAGTAAGGGAGCGCTCGCTGCAAGTCCCATTAGGGCTAATATTGCATGGGAACATGGCGTCAGCATGCTCCCTCAACTCTTCTGAGCAACAGGAACACGCGTTTCCATGACGAACGCCGTAGGCCTGAATTACATGCGCTATACTTCGTTGTTTCCAACGACAAGAGCTTTCAACGCCACTCGGGGTAGGGGATTAAGATAAATGGGTTACTCAGGTGGGAAAACAGAACAGCTAAGAAGCATAGGAGGTGCGGGGTCGTGAATGGTGTGCAGAGAACGATTTCCAAGATAGAAGGGTGGCAAACAAGACTTGAATGAGCAGTTGAGCCTTCTGATAGGGTGAAGTTAATTTGCAAAGTGGCTGTTCATGTACTGGGGCACTAGTTGAGCTTACCATTGGGCCGTAATTAAAGAAACGGCGGAGCTATGATCGGAGCCCTCCATTTAACGGAATTCTTCATTTGCTCTGGTAAGTGATTGTTCACTCCAGACATTTTCATAGGGCGATTTTCTACATTTCCTGGAGCGACATGGAGACAGTCGAGGCGTTAACGCCATATCTTGGCTTGCTTAGCCGCCTGAGCTACTGGTTGCGAAGTCCTGGACAGTTTCCGAGAACCACCCAGTTTCTACAATATCAATTTCTTTCCATTCAAAATTCTATGTTTTGATCTTCATCGCTAAAGATTTGGATTTCCGTGAGGGTTGCATTTCCAGGGCCAAACTAACAATGCCTCAGTTTCTGTCACCGGAAGCGCAGTCGTTGCTTCGAGCTCTTTTCAAGCGTAACGCAGTGAATCGACTTGGCGCGGGTCCTGAGGGAATCGAGGTTTGTTATGGCTTCCCGACTGATTCCTGATCTTTTCTTTGTATACTTATTTTCCAAATTATCTTGTACAGGAGATCAAGCGGCATCCATTCTTTGCCTCAATAAATTTCGATCGATTGCTGAATAAGGAAATTTCGCCTCCATTCAAACCAGCTGTGACAACAATAGATAGCACGTTGTATTTCGATCCGGAATTCACCAAGCGGACACCAAAAGGTTTGTTAGCAATGATGCCATCGTTTTGCCAACTGCTTGTGGGCAGTCTTGATGGGATTGGATATGTGACTTGTAGGACGAACTTTCTGAACCATTTTTGTTTTATGCATAGACTAATGTTGCTTTGTGAGGGTCGTTTTCGCCCATGGTGGACACTTACCTGCTATATTCACAGAAGTTCATGACCGTAATTAAGGATCTGCAAGAAAACTTTAGCACACAGTCTGGCGGTCCCCTTGGGGCCATTCTTTTTTTCATATTAGTTTGTGAAAATTCAGCTCGAGCTCATGCGGAACATCTTTTTCCAACCAATCGTGGTTATTGAATAGATACCGGCTTCATCTTTGAAAGAGCAAAAAAGGTTCCGACTACTTCCTTACTGGTTTTATAAAGGTCACAACTCAAATCCAAGGTTACAGCACGTTACCGTGGATTGAATGACCGCGGCTAAATTCAAGGGAATGTTGGGAAAGGGTTGTGTATCAATGTGCGAGGCTTTTTCAACTTGGGTACCACATCTAGCTTATAAGAAGAACGCATGAAAATAGCGTCGCAACATTATAATTATAAGAAAGTAGCAGATTTCAATTTCGATCTTTCCGCTGGCAAACTCTCTACCCTCTCTCGCGACAGTGCCACCTTCGCCAGGGACACTACGTAAGTTTGGCTGCCCAATGATTTCTTCCTCTCGGTGCCAACTCAGTAAAGTATCTGGGTGATTATGCGGCTGAAAGTGCTATGAAGAGTCGAGCAGCGTATGCTCGCTGTAAACCATCGTCGTGTTTGACCAGTGTTTGTCTCAATGACTGCGTTTAGCACTCAACTATTTGCGTGTCAGGTGAAGTGCTCAACCGGAGACGCACGAAGCTCACGTGAAATGTCTGCCGAGATATTTTTGACGGACGGGAGGCAAACGTGCTCCCCGAATATCATCGATATCAGCAGTTTCCAAATTATAACTGGTACTCATCACGACTACGACATTCTGCCTAGCAATGACGGCTGATCGAATTCGCTGAGCCTCATTCTAATCAATTATCACTTGGGAAGAAGAGCTCTTTGGGTTTTTCCAATGTGTTCTGATTCATGAAAAGCAGCACAACAGCAAGATCAACATAAACAGCATTCTGCCCAGGAGACAGTGAAATTAGTATGGCGGTTTTGCCTTCTCGGCCCAGAAATACTTTTCCCCTGTTCCCTGGCTGATTCATCTTCCCTTCTCCGACCGATTTGGAGGAACTATCGGACCATTTGTCACGATTTGTCGAACAGAAATGGGGTGCCTGGGTTGTTAGCTTGTCGGCTGTTGTTGGTATTTTGGTGGTTGTGAGGGCAAGAAGCTTTGGTGAGCAATCAACATGAGGTTGGCAATAGTTTCAGCAAGCATGAGCATGCAACTGTTGGTAAGAGCGGAACTCAGTTGGGAGATGGAGGAGACATCTCTGGGTAATGCAACATCAGTCAGGGAACTTCCCTCGACATTGCCAAAGTAGATTGTGTATAACCCCTTTTTGCTTTTCCTGTGATGTCTTCGATTGTTCCTTATGCAGTC